CACCTGAATCCATGTCCTAAGAACCTACAGCCCAAGGACCACACCTTGAACCAGATCAACAATGGCAAATGCGTCATAGGTGGGACCAGTGCTCTCCCCGTGTCTGGACAGACATTGCTCATTAATCAGGGCATTCTTTTCTTTCTTTCTTTCTTTCTTTCTTTCTTTCTTTCTTTCTTTCTTTCTTTCTTTCTTTCTTTTTTTCTTTCTTTCTTTTTTTCTTTCTTTCTTTCTTTTTTTTGAGTTGGAATCTCACTCCGTTGCCCAGCCTGGAGTACTCATGGCCACCGCGCCTTGATCTGCTGGGCTCCAGCGATCTTTCTGCCTCAGCCTTCCGAGTAGCCGGAACTACAAGCATGCACTACCATGCCTGGTTCATTTTTTTTGGATTTACTGTAGAGACGAGGTCTTGCCAAGTTGCCCAGGCTGGTCTCGAACCCACGGGCTCAGGTAGTCCACTCGCCTCAGCCTCCCAAAGTGTTAGGATTACAGACTGAGCCACTGAGCCTGGCCCGGGCATTCTTTTCTACAGATGCTTGCCTCAGTCCCAGAGTCATGAATCAAATACCAGTGAAGGCATTATCATTGGCTAAGCAATGGTCCCTATTGACTGGAACTGACTCAAGAATTGAAATAAATTTGCTGTCCCCGGGCTGGTGATCATAGTAAAAAAAATATTAGGAGACACTGATAATAATATCAGTGACGGCATCTGAAACCTGATCATGGCCAGATGTTGCCAAGCACCCAGTGGCTCTTATGTTAGCTAAACCTCAAACCCACTTGATGAGTTGGGTTCTACCGTATTTCACCAGGTCTAAGAGGGCATCGATTATAAGTCACACCGTTGTTATTTTATGGACCATAAAGAAGAACAAAATAAACTCTTGAGATGACACCAATGTAATGACCAAGGCCATCTTCCTGATTTCAGAGGTGTTAAAAGATGTGGGGGGACTGTGAGGGTTAGGCTTGAAGAAACATGATATGAGGATATTTACGGCACCAGACACCTGGTTACTCATTCCAGCGCTGCTGCTGTTTACCAGCTGGAAGGCTTCAGACAGTTCCCTCACCTCCCTGTATGGATGCTGGTGCCAGGCATCTCACAGGCTGGCTGGGAAATGAGATTTTTGCCCAGGGAGGCCGTGAGCTCCATCCCTTTGTAAGCACATCTGTCACACGGGAATACTGATTATAAAAAGATAATGCCAGCTCCCTGCTCAAAGTCGGAATGCAAAGGGGATTGTGGTCCATAGCAACTTATACGGAAAGAAGGGAGACTTCCTCTCTCGGCCCCTCAATCTGACCTGAGCGCCTCCCCTGCAAATAACGCACTTGATCTGTGAGCCCCTCTTTATGGTGGGGCTGGCAGGGAGGTGCGTTTCTTAAGCCCCCCAGGTCCTTGTCTGTCTTGTTCAGTTTCTAGCCCCAGGCCTGGCACATAGTGGGTGCTCAGTGATATGCCTTGAGTGACGGGGCGGTGTTTTCTGACAGGTTCCCGGAGTTTGCTCAATCTGTCCACGCCTGAAGTCCCTGCAGGCACTCCACCGGTCACTGTGGGTGAGTGTTGCCGGGCCCTAATGTTGTCTCACAGAGGCTCAGTGCGTGCGTGCATATGTTTGTGTTCATGCACACATGTGTGTCTGCAGGGATATGGGGGACTGATGGTTTGTTCCGCATCCCCCACCTCCACCCAGAGCCCACGACTCACCAAGTCCCCCACTGCCCTGGAGCTGGAGAGAGAGCCATAGCTGGTCTGATGCCACTGCACACTGGAGGGGCAAGGGGAGGGTGATGCCCACCCAGCCAGGTGCGGAAGAGGCTGTGGGTAACAGACGGTGTGTTTGTGATGTGCCAGGCACTGGCCTAATGCTTTTAGCCATTATTTCTCAACCCTTTATCCTCCGGGCAGCCAAAGGGAGAACCTTACGTCCGGGAACAAGCGGAGGTTTGGAGGCTGAAGTGAATGTGGCCGGAATTGAAACCCAAGGCTCTGACCCTTACATCCCTCTTGGTCTATCCACCAGCTGTGGGTAGCTCGGCTGGCATCAGGACAGACTCTGGCGCTCACATTCCAGCTGTGCCTCTTGCTAGCTGTGTAATGTTGGGCAGTTCTTTTTTTTTTTTGAATTGGAGTCTCACTCTGTCGCCCAGGCTGGAGTGCAGTGGCACGCTGACGGCCACCGCAACCTGGACCTGCTGGACTCAGGGGATCCTTCTGCCTCAGTTTTCCATGTTGGGCAGTTCTTAATCTCTCTGAGCCTCAGAATTTTTGACTATAAAATGGGGATGATCATTGTAGTCCTTCCTCCTACTGTTTTTGTGAGACTCTAATGAATTATTATTATTGTTGTTGTTATTTTGAGTGGCAGTCTGACTTTGACACCCAGGCTTGAGTACAGTGGCATGATCATGGCTTACCACAGCCTCAACTTCTTGGGCTCAGGCAATCCTCCTGCCTCAGCCTCCTGAATAGCCGGGACTACAGTCACACACCACCACACTTGGCTAATTTTTTTATTTCTTGTGGAGACAAGGTCTCACTATGTTGCCCAGGCTGGTCTTGAACTCCTGGGCTCAAGCTATTCTCCCATCCTCCCGCCTCAGCCTCCCAAAGTGTTTGGATCACAGGCGTGAGACACCATGCCCAGCCTGAATTAATTTGTATAAAGCGCTTAGAACACAGTGAAAACTGTCTGGATGTCAGCTCTTCCTGAGATTATTTAGTCCAGGCATGGAGCCCTTGGCAGTTCCAGGACACCCACAGGGGCCGGCCCAGACCCCCTTGCCCGGCCTCCTGGCTCCCGCTAACCTTCTCTCAGACACCCAGAGGTGGTAAACAGGGGTCTGGAGAGAGAGTGAAGGGGCACCAGTCCTGCCAGAGGCCCTGGCAATGGATGAGGGCACAGAGAGGGAATGAAATGCTGTGAGTGCACAGGCTGCAGGGTGGGCTCCTGCCTGGACCCACAGGCACCCCATGGGCACTTTCTTCCTGAAGTCAGGGTGGGGGCCACAACACCCTAGAAGGGCAAAGGAGACACAGCTCCAGGGACCGTGCCCAGCCCTTGGTCCCTCAGCCCCTCTGGGCCACAGCTCCTTGGGGTCCACACCGCTGTCTCCCTGTAGCCCCCACACCCAGCCTCGCCCTTGAGCTCGCTTCCTGCCGTTTGATCCAGCTCCCATCCCGCCCCAAACTGCCTCCTTTGCAGACAGACAGGGGAAGGGAGAAGTGAGGACCAGAGGAGGGTCCTCTTTGGGGGACAGCGGATACTGCCCCTGCCAGATCTCACCCCCCAACCACCCGTCCTCCGGCCTCATTCTCCCAAGGCTCCAGGACTCACACTGAGGAGGAGGAGGGGCCCATCTCTTCCGAGGCCTCTCGGTACCCCGTCACAGCCGCTGCTGTTCCTTCTTGTGCTTTGCGTTCTTTTTTTTTTTGAGTTGGAGTCTAACTCTGTTGCCCAGACTGGAGTGCAGTGGCACGCTCCCAGCCACCGCAGCCTCGACCTCCTGGGCTCTGGCGATCCTTCCACCTCAGCCTTCCAAGTAGCTGGAACTACAGGCGCGTGCTACCACGCCCGGCTAATTTTTTTTATTTATTGTAGAGACGAGGGTTCACCAAGTCGCCCAGGCGCGTCTCGAACCCGCGGGCTCAGGCAATCCACTCACCTCGGCCTCCCAAAGCGCTGGGATTACAGGCTGAGCCACCAAGCCCGGCCACTTTGCGTTCTTTTAAGCAGAGGTGAGACCAAGAGGGAGGCCAAGGCAAGAAGTCACACCAGAGGTCCCTTGATTTATTTATGTGTCAGAGTCTCAACCTGTCACCCAAGCTGGAGTGCAGTGGCGCTATCATGGCTCACTACAGCCTTGACCTCCTGGGCTCAGCCGATCCTTCTGCTTCAGCCTTTTCAGCAGCTGGGACTACAGGATAGGCATATACCACCCCGCCTGGCTTTTTTTTTTTTCTTAGTAGAGATGAGGTCTCTCTATGTTGCTCAGGCTGGTCTGGAACTCCTAGGGTTCAGCAATCCTCCTGCCTCAGCCTCCTAAAGTGTTGAGATTAAAGGTGTGAGCCACCATGCCCAGCCTAGAGGGCTCTTTATAATATGCACGTCCAGGAGGCAGCCGAGACGCCAAGGCTAAAGTGACGGCCAGGGAGTGTTGGCCGGGATTCACAACCAAGGCTCTGAGCACCTTGTTCAAATGAGAGAGACCCAGGGGACGGTGCTGCAGAGCTGGGAGACCCTGACTCACAGACCCTCTCCTGCCCTCCAAAAGGTGGATTCCAGGCACAGAAAGGAAGTCCGGCTTTCTGGTGGTCTATTCACTGTCGAGGTGGCTCTGAGTCACCTTCTCTGGAAGCCAGCCTTGGGCCTCATGTCCCCAAGGTCCCTGTCCATCCCTCCATCACAGCACATGTCTCACCATATTGCTTGGGGTCTACTCCTTGACCTTTTCACCAGACAGAGCCCCGCAAGGCCTGGCTACTCTCGTCATATTTGTATTCCCAGAGCCGAGTGCCTGGCACACAGTAGGCACTCAATAATCACCTACTGAACAAAGACTAAGGATTGAAGAGCTAGCAGAGAGAGATTCCCATGGGCTAGCGGCCAGGGAAAACTCAGGCAGTAATTCATGTAGTCAGGTACGGTAAGTCCCCTGCATATGAACGAGTTCCATTCCAAGAGCACGTTCGTAAGTCCAATTTTTTTCAAAAGTCCAACAAAATCAGCCTAGATACCCAACGAGCACAATTGGCTGTGTAGTCCCAGCTACACCTCTGCTGCTTTTACGTGTGCTTCCGGACAGCCTGGCTTGAAGTAAAGAACCCATACTACGGTGCTGTGTACAGTATTATTCAATACAGTACACAGAAGCACAACCATTTGTAGAGGATGCACACACATGACAATGTACACCAGACAGGCAAACTGACTTATGTGATTGGATACGCAAATGCCCATTCACATCACTGAAAGTTTGCAACTTGAAGGTTTGTATGCAGGGGACTTACTGTACTCATTTGGCCCATGTGCACTTATGAAACACCTACTATCTACCAGGCACCTAAAAGCAGATGGGAAAAAAATGAAAAAAAGGATGGGAGGAGGAAGATAGGTTAAGAAAGGAAGCGGGTCTGCTGAAGAGAGGATGGAAAGGCAAGAAGGATGGCGGGGAGAAGTCTGTGTTCATTCCTCCATCTGAGTCAGAGTTCTTGTTTCCAGAATCTTCTGTGACAGTGAAAACAGAGGACAAGGCATCTCGGGAGCTGGTGCTCCTCATCCCCTGCATTGTCCTGGGGGTCCTCCTCCTCGGCTCTCTCGTCTCTATCGTCTTTATCCTTTTGAGAGTCAAAGGAAAATACGGTAGGTGTGAGGCCCTGGGAGCCACGGCCATGCCAAGGGGATGCGAGCCTGGGCGGGATGCCAGCAGCAGGCTGGGGTGTGACCAGGCAGGGGCCACCAAGCCTGGGCCCCGGGGAGTCCCTTCTGGTGGGAAGGATTTTCCCAGCATGCCCAGCAGAAGTGGAGCCATCCGTGTGGGTCCCAAGGGAGGACCAGGTCTCCGTGCATGTGTGCATGTGTGAGAGAAGTGAGGAGGGAGGCGTCTTGATGACATCAGCATCAGGGAGATGGGGGAGGGCAGGACAATGACTTGTAGAATTTCTACCTCCCCTCCCTCAGCCCTCCCTGTAATGGTGAACCACCAGCACCTGCCCACCACCCTCCCTGCAGGCATCCATAACTATCACGCGGTCCCCATCGCCGTCCCCAAAGAGGAAGGTAGGACATCCCCCATCCTGGGCGTGGGAGGTCTGGGAAGCACAGGAAGGGTACTTTCTGGGAGGTCAGTACTGCTTAGGTCAAAGCGAGATAAGACCAGGACCTGCCCACTGATCCAGGCTGTGTGACCTCGAGCAGGTCAAGTTCCTCTCCTGACCTTAATGGGCAGATGATTTTCCAGTTCAGTCATCCTAGGACTCTAGACTTCTGAGTTTCAGACAGATACAGGCCGAGGGCATTTTGGATTCGGGTTCTTTATTTTGGGGTTGGAGTCTCACTCTGCCACCCAGGCTGGAGTGCGGTGGCAAGCTTATGGCCACTGCAGCCTCAACCTGCTGGGCTCAGGTGATCCACCGCAGCCTCAACCTGCTGGGCTCAGGTGATCCTTCCACCACAGCCTCCCAAGTAGCTGGAAGTACAGGCGCATGTCACCACACCCAGCTAAATTTTTATATTTATCGTAGAGATGAGGTCTCGCCAAGTTGCCCAAGCTGGTTTCAAACCTGTGGGCTCAGGTATCCTCTTGCCTTGGCCTCCCAAAGTGCTGGGACTGCAGGCTTGAGCCACCGTGCCCAGCCTGGATTTGGGTTCTTAGAGGAAAGCCTTGCTCTGCTAATGGGCTTGTAAGTTTGTGATATCATCAACCCTTTCGTGACCCCTTGCCTACCCAAGAACCCCATCAAGATTCTCCTAGAACTTAGACTTTTGTTTTTGTTTGTTTGTTTTGAGTCGGGGTCTCACTCTGTCACCCAGGCTGGAGTGCAGTGGCACAATCACAGCTCATTGCAGCCTCGAGCTCCTGGACTCAGGTGATCCTCCCTCCTCAGCCTCCCAGGTAGCTGGAACTACAGGCATGCACCACCATGCCTGGCTAATTTTTTTGATATATTTGTAGAGATGAGGTCTTGTTATGTTGCCCAGGCTGGTCTCAAACTCCTGGGCTCAAGTGGTCTGCCCACCTTGGCCTCCCAGAGTGCTGGAATTACAGCCACTATGCCTAGCCTAGAACATAGTTTTGTTTCATATTTCCTAAGTTATTTTAAAAATTGACTGAGAATGAAACCAAAGGCAAAAAGAAATTGGGTCAGTCATCTGACTTTTATGATATATGGATTTATGCTGCTTGAAAGCCTTGCAAACGAGTTTGAGTTCAGTCACATTGCGTTATGAATATATTCAGTCACCTTTATCAAAAAGAGTTCAGTGACATGAAAATCAATACAAGACTCAGCTAAATATTATAAATATCCTTTGCACGTACATTTGAGGAGAGAATATTTATATACCATCTACCATCTAGGGCAAGGCTCAGCACAGAGACATTGCTCACTGGATTTTGTAGTCTATAGAGATTTTGAGCCAGACAGCCTGCTTCTCTGGGCAAGATGAAACCCTCTCTGTGCCTCAAGTTTCTCGGCTATAAAATGGGAATAAAAATGTACCTACTGCATAGAGTTGTTGTTTGGTTTTTGTGGTTTTTGTTGTTGTTTTTTGAGTCAGAGTTTCGCTCTGTGGCCCCAGCTGGAGTGCAGTGGCACCATCACAGCTCAACACAGCCTCGATATTCTAGGCTCAGGTCATCCTTTCCACCTCAGTCTCCCGAGTAACTGGGACTACAGGGGCGGGTCACCATGCTTGGCTAATTTTTTGTATTTTTTTGTAGAGATGGGCTCTTGCTATGTTACTCAGGCTGTTCTCAAGCTCCTGGGCTCAAGCAAACCTCCCGTCTCGGCCTCCCAAAGTGCTGGGATTACAGGCGCGAGCCACCATACCTGGCTCATAGAGTTATTACACAGGTTACATGAGATAATATTTGTAAATGTTAGAATAGAGCCTGGTATGTAGTAGGTGCTGTGTGAAGTGTTTGCTAAATAAACAGACGCCGCTTAGTTCTCCGTGTTGGAAGCAGGAAGCAGGGGCTTGGTAAATCCAGGCTGGGTGTTGCATGCCAGATGGGCTGCCTGGTGTCCTCCCCACCCCACCCCTCTGTCTCTGGTCCCCGCCATCTGGGCTCTCAGCTGCCTCTCCCTTCACTTTTCCGCCCACCGCTCGGCCATGCCACACCGTCTGTTCTCTCCCCAGTTCCCAAGGTGCCCATTCAGGCTCGGGCCCCACCCCCCGAGGACTCAGACTCCAGCTCGGACACAGACTATGAGCATTATGACTTCAGCGCCCAGCCTCCTGTGGCCCTGACCACCTTCTACAGTGAGTGAGGGAGAGGGCCCAGCTGGCCAGGGGACTATCAAGAGGTCCCACTGGGTGACTCTGGCACTGCCAGGGCAGAACCCTTCATGTCACCCACTGGATCGACCATAGATGGTCCTACGGGGAAGCTGTCAAAGGCGTCGTGACCCTTGAGGTCGTCTCGATGCCTCAAGCCCCTCCACTCTGACCTCTGTCCCTCCTGGGTCTGCCTTTGGCCTCGTGGGGTCTTAAGGTCATTACAAGGCCCTCAACGTTCGCCCAGAGGGGGCTTGTCTCTGTGCAAGACAGAGCATGCAGGCGAGGGTCACAGTTGGCAGGGCCTCCTGCATGCCCTGCCGATGTGTGTCCCGTCCCACCCTGTCCGCCCCGTCGGCCCCTCCCGTCCCCCACCGCCTCTGTCACGCCGTCTCACCCCTTTCAGCCAGCTTGTCCAGCCCTTCTCTCTGCTTGCCGGGGACAGGAGGAGGAAAGGCAGCACTCGAGGCAGGGCCCAGGCAATGCTGGGAGGTGGGACTAGAACAGAGAGCGCCACCTCTCTGGCAGGATCTCTGGGAGCTTGTCAGAAATCCCTGAGCCCCAACCGCACGCACCATATAGACGTCAGGATGAGAGTTTGGCTGTGTATGACAGAGACGCCTGAATGACAGTGTCCTGAGAGGCTGGCGAGGGCCCAGGCTTCTCCTCTCCTGCTGCCGTGCGGTCCCTACAATGTCGTCCTGGTGCATGGGGTCCGGAACAACTCACCACCATGTCCACACCCCAGGCAGCAGGACAGGGAAAGGTGGGATCCTCAAAATGACCCCATCGCTCCCGCCCGCACACTCACTGCCTGGAACATGGGCCTGCTAACTGCAGGAGAGGCAGGAACGAAGTCCCTATCCCAGGCAGCTGCGTGTCCGGATAAGGCCCACGGGCCTCCAAAGACAGATCCTGGGAGCAGCTGGCCATCCCTGCCGCATGAGCTGACCCAGGGCCTCTAGGGGTGGGACATGGATGATTCCACGTCTGCTGGTCCAGGGATCGGCATTTGGGAACCACGGGAATGAGGGGTCCTCAGAACCCCAGATTTTTCTTTTGAGTCGGGGTCTCACTCTGTCACCCAGGCTAAGTACACAGTGGCATAATCACAGCTAGCACAGCCTCGACCTTCTGGGTTCAGGCAATTCTGCCTCAGCCTCCCGAATAGCTGGGACAACAGGCACGTGCCACGACGCCCAGCTAATCTGTGTGTTTTTTGTAGAGTTGAGGTCTCACTATGTTGCCCAGGCTGGTCTTGAACTCCTGGGCTCAAGCAATTCTCCCACCTTGCGGGGATTACAGGCTTGGGCCACCGGGCCCAGCCTAGAACCTGAAACTCCAAACCCAGGCACATAAGACGCAAGACTGAGAGTCCACAATCTCAGCATTGAGAAGGAAAGTCAGTGGTACTGGGTTCAAGAGCTGACCCCAAGATCCTAGACTCTCCCGTTCTCAAGTCTCTGTGAATCTCCATCTCTCTGATTCTGAAATGTGGTGTTGCCCCGGCAGTCGTGACACGGTGATTCCAGACCGTTGGGCTTCTGCCCAGGGAAGGCTCCTCACAGGGCAAACATCTGCTCCAGCCCAGAGCTGCCAGGGCAGGAGGAGAGAACACAGATTCCTTTTTATTTTGTTTTATTTATGTATTTATGCATTTATTTATTTATTTTTGAGTTGGAGTCTCACTCTGTCACCCAGGCTGGAGTGCAGTGGCACACTCCCGGCCACTGCAGCCTCAACCTGCTGGGCTCCGGCGATCCTTCTGCCTCAGCTTTCCAAGTAGCCAGAACCACAGGCACACGCTACCATGCCTGGCTAATTTTTTGGATTTACTGTAGAGACGAGGTCTCGCCAAGTTGCCCAGGTGGGTCTCGAACTCGTGGGCTCAGGCAATCCCCTCGCCTCGGCCTCCCAAAGTGCTGGGATGACAGGCTGAGCCATCGAGCCCAGCCTTTTTTTTTTTCAGACACGAATCTCGTGATGTCACCCAGGTTGAAGTACAGTGGCATGATCACAGCTCACCTCGGCCTCCTGAACTCAAGTCTCAGACTCCTGAGTAGCTAGAACCACAGACGTGTGCCACCACGCTAGATAATATTTTATATTTTAATTCTTTTTAGAGGCAGGGTCTCGCTATGGTGCTCGGGCTGGTCTCAAACTCCTGGGCTCAGGTGGTCCTCCTGCCTCCGCCTCCCAAAGTGCCAGAATGACAGGCGAGAGCCACCACGCCCAACCCCAGGGTCTTGAGACTTTCCTAAGTGGTAGCAGGAGTTTGGGGGTGGGGTGTTGCAGGGGACTGAAGTTTCTGGCCCCCGGTTGGTTTCAAGATCAACATGAATCTGCCCTTGTCGAGGGTGGGTGTCTCCTTGGGTGAGGGCATGAGGCTGGAGTCTGGTGGGAAAGGCCAAGCCCCTCCCTACCTCTGGGGCTGTCCCCCCACCCTGTTCAGCTTCAGGGATTCCCTCTCCAGCCCCAAAGAAATCCAGCCCTTCCCCCAGGCTCCTGGGCCGAAGAGGCTGGGCCTTCACCCCTCCCCACCACCACCTCTGCTCACAGATTCCCAGCGGCACCGGGTCACAGAGGAGGAAGCCCAGCAGAGAAGGTTCCAGATGCCCTCCTTGGAGGAAGGTGAGTTTGGCTCAGGGGGGCGTGAGGGGTGATTAGAGTGACAACCCTGCCTCCAGGCTGTAGCTCAGCTCACCTTGAAGCCTACCGGCTGCAGCCTCCCTCAATGGGCTCTCCCTGACTTTAACAATTCCTGGAGGCAGAAGCCCTCATGCTGCATTGCTGCTTCTTTCCTCTCCATTCTTTCCTTCCTGGCCCAGGACTTGAAGAGTTGCACGCCTCCCACGTCCCAGCAGCCAACCCCGGACACTCCGTGGCAGAACCCCCGTCCCTGGGCCCACAGTTTCACCCTAGGAGCACAAGTGGGTCCAGCACGTCCTCCGGGGAGCATTACTGCAATAGCCCCAGCAGCAAGCTGCCGCCACGGAACCCCCAGGTGTTTCCTTCAGAGAGAAGTCCCCTCCTGGAGCAGCCCCCAAACTTGGAGCTGGCCGGCTCCCAGGCCACTTACTCAGGTGAGCCGTGCATCCCCGACCCCCTTCCCGTGGCCCACCTGGCGGGAGGAGGCTAGAGCTGGGGGCTCTGAGCCTGGCTGAGGGCAGGACTCTGGTTCCAGCCCCGCAGTCACTCACTGTGTGATCCTGGGCAAGTCTCCTCCCCTCCCTGGGACTTCGCCACCTGCCACCTGACCCGTCAAGCTAGGGACTTGGCCCCCCTGAGTCCTGTGGGCCTCCCAGCTCCAGCAGCCCCTGAAGCGGGGGGGGGGGGTGTTCTCCTGGCAGGGGGTGACTGGCTCCGGGGGTTTCCAGCAGGGCCGTCGGCGGATGACAGCTCCAGCACCTCATCCGGGGAATGGTACCAGAACTTCCGGCCGCCACCCCAGCCCCCGCTGGAGGAGCAGTTTGGGTATCCAGGTGCCGCTCTCTGGGGAGTGTGGGGGGTGTCGGTTGGATGCAGCAGCCCAAGGGGAAAAGAGGCAGTGAGGGGAGAGGAGAGAGAGAAAGCAGTTTAACAAACAAGAGGATGCGGTGGCTCATGCCTGTCATCCCAGCACTTTGGGAGGCCAGTGTGGGAGGATCGCTGGAGCCCCGGATTTCAAGACCCGCCTGGGCAACATAGCAAGACCTCCTCTCTACAAAAAAAAATAAAAAAATTAACTGGGCGTGGTGGTCCATGCCTGCAGTCCCAGTGACTTGGGAGGCTGAGGCAGAAGGATCTCCTGAGCCCAGGAGGTAGAGGCTGTGGTGAGCCGTGATCGTGCCACTGCCCTCTAGCCTGGGCAACAGAGTGAGACCCTGACCCCAAACACACACAAACCAAGAATATGAAGAAGTAGGGGGAAATGAATGTGGGTGGGATGGAGAAGTATTCAAAGAAGTTTCTTGGCTAGGAAGTGAGCTCCCCGTTAGTGGAAGCATTCAACAGAAGCTGCTGGTAGGGCCCTCGGGGGAGACCGTGGCAGCAGACGGGCTCCCAGCACCCAGTCATCCACAGTGCCATTGCGGGGACCCCAGCCCCGCCCCATACAGATGAGGCTGGGTCCTCAGGGCTGACATTCAAGCCAGCGAGGTGGCAGGGTGCAAGACGATAAGACGGCTTCACCAGCATGGCAGGGGGAGGGGGACAGGGAGCCAGACCCGCTCAGCTTGGCCCCCCGCGGGGTAGCAGGGCGATGGCAGGGCCTCCCACTGACCTGGGCCCCCCGTCCCTGCCCACAGGGTCGCCCAGCCCCCAGCCTGACTCCACCGACAACGAGGACTACGATGACATCGGGGCGGTCTAGCCTGAGTCCCGCCGAGGCCCCGGGTGTGGCCCCTCCCTCCGGCCTCTCACTGCACCGACTCCCCGCCTCACCCACACCCTCCCAGGTCACCCCAGGCGGCTGAGAGGCCTCGCCTGGAGAGATGGAAGGAGCCCTCACACCTTGCCCATCTCGGGAAAGGCAGGCAGAGTCCGGGAAGCTCCCTGGGGGGTGGGGGGCAGCCAGACCGGGTGACCCCCTGCAGCCCCTTCTGACCCTCCGGTGCCCCGGGCTTCGATTCGAGTCTCCCACACCTCAGGGCCCAGAGGTGCTGAGAGGAGCAAAAACGGGCCCCACCCCAGCTCTGCTGTGGGGGCCCCAAGTGAGAGAGGCTGGGGGGCTGTCGTCTCTCTGATAGGCGGGTGCTGGGGAGGGCGGTCACAGCACCTGCCTGGTCACAGCACCTGGGCAGGGAAGGTAGCCTTCTGCACACAGACGGCAACAGTGAACAGGATGACGGTGTGCCCCCTTCCAAGGGGTGGGGGCCCGAGGCTGGTGCCACCCCAGAGATCCTCAGAACCCACCTGTGGGCCCAGACCTATTTGCGGGGACTGTCCCTGGACAGCAGATCCTTACCCTGACCTTGCTACGGTTTACAAAGAGGGTCTCAGCCCAGCCCTGCAAACCCCAGAGGCGGGGGCCCAGTTTGGTGGGGGCTGGAGCACAGAGGTGTCTGCCAGGAAGGGGCCCAGGGGCTCTACGTGCCTCCTCGAATCAATGGAGATGCTCCCAGGTGAACACATGACCATGCAGCCTTTCACCTGGAACACAGACACATCCAGGCAGCCGCCAGAGAGAGGCCCAGGTCTCAGGCCAGGCCCGGTGTCCTGTTCTGAGTGTCCTGAGATTAAACTGCATTGCTGAGTGAAGCCGGAGTGTGGAGTGACGAGTTCTTAAACTTCATGGAGTCCAGGCTGTGTGTGTGTGTGTGTGTGTGTGTGTGTGTGTGTGTGTGTGTGTGTGTGTGTGGCAGGCGTTGAAGTCCCTCAGCAGCAAAGGTGAGCCCAAGGCCTCTCACGTCTCTTGGGACGTGATCCCAGCGAGCACCAGTGAGAAAATGAGGAACAGAGGTCACAAGGAGCGACCATGTTCCTGGACAGGTTGCTGCAGTGGGCAACCAGGCTCGGCCCAACTGGGGACATCTGGGAAACACACCTCAGAGTTGTCCCCCAAGGGATCTTGACCCACCAGCCTCTGCCTGTCTTTGGTTGAGGGGCATCAGCCCACCCCCGGCACTACCAAGCTGCCTGTGGTGAGCCAAGCACAGAGTCCAGAGAAAGTCATGGGCCCAGGGTCAGAGGCCCATCCTGTGAGAAGCTGGCTTCCATGGGCGTGGTCCAAAGAAGCCCACCAGCACCCGCATGTGTGTGCGCACACAGTGGAGGCCATAATGGGCCAGCTTTATCCACTGAAGTTGGAAACGCCAGGGTGGCCCTGAAAACCCACCGTGGCTCAGCTTGGTAAAGAATGCTGGGGACACAGGGACAAGAAGCCAGGCCCGGCCAAGCACCGTCGCTAATCCCAGCACTTTGGAGGCCCAGGCAGGAGGATTGCCTGAGCCTTGAGGTCAAGGCTGCTGTGAGCTGCCACGGCACACCAGCCTGGGCGACAGAGTAAGATCCGACTAAAAAAAAAATATATATATATATGTTTTCTTTCTTTTTTTCTTTTTTTTTTTTTGAGTTGGAGTCTCACTCTGTCGCCCAGACTGGAGCACAGCGGCCGCTCCCGGCCACCGCAGCCTTGACTGGCTGGGCTCTGGTGATCCTTCCGCCTCAACCTTCCAAGTAGCTGGAACTACAGGGGCACGCTACCACACCCGGCTAATTTTTCTTAAAATTTATTGTAGAGATGAGGGCTCGCCAAGTTGCCCAGGCGGGTCTCAACCTGCATGCTCAGGCAATCCACTCACAGAAGCCTCCCAAAGCACGGGATTACAGGCTGAGCCACCGACCCTGGCTTATACATTTGTTTTCTAAAACAGGATATGATTCATACCGCATATCCAATGTCATGTTTTCAGCGCTGACGTTTGAAAACTTACATCATCCTTCTAAAATAAGCCTAATGGAACAGGACTTTGATGTCCACCCTCAGCTATTTTTGAAATCTGTGCCCTCCTGGAGGAGGGGGACTCACCCCCACCCTAGTCCCCCCCGCCCCCCCAGGCCCGA